ACTTGTACATTGGTGAAACTAAGCAGCCGCTTCACAAACGCATGGCCCAACACAGGAGGGCCAACTCCAGTGGACCAGAGTCAGCAGTCCACCTCCACCTGAAGGACAAAGGACATTCTTTTGAGGACAGTGAAGTCCAGATCCTCTCCAGAGAACATCGCTGGTTTGAGAGAGGAGTCAAAGAAGCTATTTTTGTAAAAATAGAACACCCCTCACTAAAAAGGGGTGGTGGACTAAGACACAACTTGACTTCCATCTACAATCCTGTTTTGAGATCTCTGCCCAAACATGCCCACCAGGACAATAGGCATCGGTCGACAGAGGAGGATTCAAAGACAGGTAACGACTCTCACCGATACTGGGCTACGACTACGACTACTACGACTGCTGACTACGACTACTACGACCAGTCGTTAAGGGACATTAAGGACTGAAACACCACCGAGGGGTATCTCCGGTTCAACACCAGTCAGTCAGAACTGATGAAGCCTCTTGGATGAGAGGTGAAACGTCTTCGACCTAGAAATCTAAGTCCAGTTGATTTTTTCTAAGTTTTTTCAGTTGTCTAGTAATGAACATCTTTTGCAGGGTCTCCTCAGACTTGTGCTTTTTTTTGCCATGACCAAATACTATTAGTATAGAAAATGACTGGCCTTATCCTTTAAAGCTTTAATCTAAACCAAGTACTCAGCCTCTGGACATGTGAAAAGAAAAACCAACATGACTGGACCTGGGAGGCTAAGGCAGAGCTGCTTCGACTGCACAGACTGGAGTGTTTTTTTAAATGACTACTACAGACATTCATGAACTTACTGAAACCATGATGTCATACATCAGTTTTTGCAAGGACAGGTGTGTACCTGCTAAGACCTTCCGGACATAAAATAACAACAAGCCCTGGTTCACAGCTAAGGTCAGATACAGTAGCTTCACCACATCAAGGAGGATGCCTTCAAGGGGCAGGGACAGAGACCAGTATAAACAGGCCAGAAATGCTCTGAAAAGGGACATCAAGAAGGCCAAGGGGAGTTCACACAGATATTCAACAGATCACTGGAGCTGTGTGAAGCCTCCGCCTGCTTCAAACGCTTTACCATCATCCCAGTCCTCTGAGAAACCCTCCATCAGCGGAGTGAATGACTATAGACCTGTCGCCCTGACATCTGTAGTTATGAAGTCCTTTGAGAAACTGGTGTCGGCCCACCTGAAGGACATCGTAGACCCCCTGCTGGACCCCCTGCAGTTTGCCTACCGGGCAAACAGGTCAGTGGATGATATAGTCAACATGTCACTACATTACATCCTGCAACACCTCGACTCCCCAGGGAGCTATGCACAGGTCCTCTTTGTGGACTTCAGCTCAGTATTCAACACCATCATCATCAAGACATCCTCCACTCCAAATTCACCCAGCTCAGTGTTCCTGCACACACCTGCCAGTGGATCACCAGCTTTCTGACAGACAGGAGCCAACAGGTGAGACTGAGGAAAACCACATCCAGCACCCAGTCTATCAGCACAGGGAACCTCCAGGGATGTGTGCACTCACAGCTGCTGTTCTTCCTATACACCAACAACTACACCTCCAGGGACCCTTCTGTCAAACTCCTAAAGTTCACAGATGACAACAGTCATTGGCCTCATCCAGGATGGTGATGAGGTGGCGTACAGCCAGGAATTTAAAAAGCTGGCCCTGTGGTTGCAGATGTAACAACATGGAGCTGAACATGGTCAAAATAGTGAAGATGACAGTGGACTTCAGGAGTAGCCCCAGCACTCTATTCCCCCCTCCCCATACTCAGCAGCACTGTATCGGTGGTAAAGTCATACAAGTTCCTGGGCTCCACTATCTCCCAGGATCTGAAATGAATGCCCAACAACAGTACCATCATCAAAAGGGCACAGTAGAGGATGGACTTCCTGCTCCAGCTCAGGCAGGTCAACCTGCCCCAGGAGCTGCTGATACAGTTCTACAAAGAAATCCTCGAGTCTGTTCTCTGCTCTTCCATCACTGTCTGGTTTGGCTCAGTAATGGACTACAGAAAATATCAGTAACAGCCTGCCGTCCATGGAGGACCTGTACACCTCATGGGTCAAAAGAAGGGCAGAGAAGATTTCTGCAAACCTCACATCCAGGACACAAACTATTTTAACCCCTCCCCTCTGGATGGCGCTACAGGTCACTATATGCCAAAATAACCAGACACTAAGAAAGTTTCTTCCCTCACACCATCACTATGTCTATAGCTATCACCAAGATGAATAGTTACCAGGACTGCAGTAACATGACCATAGTGCAGTAAACTGTGGATGGAGCCCGCCACAGGCACCAGACACATACAGTAGCTCAAATGTACATATGTATATAATATGAGACTCCACGCCAGAGAAAAATGAGGTGACTAACATGTTAAACCACTTGGTGCCCCTCAAGGTCTGTGTACAGAGATGACCCGTCAGAGATCTTCATGTACGTTTCATGCTGTTTACCTTGGTTTCGATGTCTGAGAGCAGCACGCTGGCACCGCGCACCTCCAGCAACATGTTCTGACCCCACACACGGCCCATCTCATTCAGTAGCTTCAGCCGCTCCACACAGTCAGCTACACTTCTTAACTCCTTCCCATCCAGGTCACAAGTCAACAAGTGCTGTAACACAGAGGTTTATTAAAGAAAAACAACAAACAGACATGGTTCAGAATGGGCCACACTTATTTGTATAACTGTAATATTATACCTCCACTCGGTGCTGAAAGTTGTCCATCATCTGGTTTATTGATGCTGCATACGCCTTCCTCTGTGCTGTTGAAATATAAAGCAGGGCTCTGTATTAGTCATAACAATTCAACTGAGCACACGTAATAATTTGTTGCATTAACAACATCAGTGTTAACTTACAGTAAACCGACTTTGCACTGGGTCTTGACAGACTTGAGACTTGTGATGACAACTCATCAATAGTGGAATAGTCACTGTCACAATGAATCAAAGCAATTTATGAATCAAAGCAATTTAAAATAATGATCTCTGCTGATGAAACAGTGAACAAATGAAACAAACAGTCGATTAATCACATAAAATAGTGAAACCATACTTAGACTGGACTGATCCAGCGTAGCTGCTGGTGTCGGTGCCAAAGGGATCGTGACTCCTGAACATCCTGAGCGCTGAGCTCACACACACACACACACACACACAGTATCATATGTGATGACTATGCAAAGTATGAATGTGTAATGTCAGTATGATCCGAGTCAGCAACTTGTCTGACATAAATCTGTAAGTCATTGTGAGGTTTTTTTGTGCCATAAGTCTTTACTCAAAACTGACTGAAGCTTAAAAACCATTGAGTTTTAAGACACATGACTTCTAAATTCACTTCATAAATACTAATACATTTTTAAAAAATGGATCTTGATACTCATCATCTAATCACCCAGCAACATCCTAATAAATCATCGCCATGTTGCTGTTGGATATTCAAGTCTGAATATTTCCAACAAAGGTTTACTGATGAACTCTCAGCGAACCGCCACTACAGATCCTTTTTACATGAATAACAAAGACATACAGTACCCAGGACATTCTTCTCTATTGTCAAAAGCTCTTACCTTCGAGTTCTCCCAGTCAAATATTGCTGTTACTTCTTTTTTTATTAGTTATGCTGATATTTTAATCCCGTACCTCAGTCAACAACATGATATACCCAAGACTTCCTCATAGAGGAGAAGGACAAAGTCCACTAGTAGCACCCAGTAGCAAAATGATCTGTGTAACACCAAGATGAGTCAGCTGAGGGGAGTGACATCTCTAGTGTGGCATCCCATCCTGTGAGCAAAGGTTACCAGGCAGAAAGGAAACTACGTTACCTTGAAAAAGCTGAAAGGTTCCCAGAACTAGAGCACATTTTTCCATTTGTAAATACTGACCTACAGTGATGCTGCTGCTTCTTCTGTTGTCTCTTGTAACATGGAAAGAGTTCGGGTCTAAAAATAACCAATTTCTAGCACGGTTCACTTCCAAGGTATAAATACTTAGTGAATTAAATGCTGCTCTACAGAGAAACAAGTTTGCAGTCCTAATATTAGTTGTTGCCTATTAATATGTACATGTATTTCAGTAATATAGATTTTAAATGTTTTAAAAACAGGGTTAACGTCCAGTTTTTATATGCTTTCATTTGTCTTTCCTGATATTACTTTCAAAATATAATGTATAGAGCCAGTACTAAAGATTAGTTAAAGAAAATGAATAGAAAGAGGAAATATCACCACTCTTGTCAAGTTGGTTTTCTTAACATCTTTTAATATTTTTTTGCTCTGTCATCTCGTTACATAAATGCCAGTGCACTCGGCCACAATAAAACCACCAGCCCTTTAGATTTTATGTCAGCTGAGGAGAAATCAGTTCTGAATCCGTGAGTTGTGTCTAAAACATGGTCTCGTCATCATATGCATTTAAATCTGATGCTGCAAAAGCAAACACAATATATCAATGATTCTTTTGAGCTAAAATGGCACTAAAAAGTTGCATTTTACATGAAACTGAACTACCAAACGGTATGAAACTGTTCGAAATATCTCTACATTAAAACTCTCCTTACATGCTAATGATTAGAGTAGATACTTTTACTTTTGATATTGCAGAACATGTTGCTGATAATAGTTATCTTTTACTTTTAACATCTTGAATGCAGTACTTTAATTACCTTTAATTTACAAGTTCAATTCACAGAGCAAGCTACTGTGAAAACTGACTCAGAGTTCAAACGATCTCTGTTTCTGGAACTGAAAACCCAGAGTTTCCCTCAATTCAGGATGAACAAACTCAGTGTTTTCACTTAACCTGTTTTCTGGAACGCCACCCAGGATCTGGACCGACACTGAACCAGAACACAATGCCGCACTGATCCCAGGCCTGAAGCTGTTCCAATTAACTATTAGAGGTCAAGGGTCTCACATCAGCACATTCAGAAGGTGCAGAGCTGCAATTAACAGACGTCAGCTAGAGCACAAACATAAACACACACTGATTTAACATGGAGCTATAGTCAACATACAGCAGCTCTCTGAGAAGGTACGAGGCAACAAAAGTGAAATGAGAAATCCTGCATTGCTCAACACAGGTACAGTTTGCTCCTTCTGTCTAGAACCAACAGTCCACCATGCTTGTCATAAATAATTAATTAACTCTAGTGATATTTTGGCAATTTTATTGACAAAATAAAAAAAATACAATCGCAAGACAGATTCACTGACACCACTAGATTAGAAGTCAGCACCCCAAAGTGCAGTCGCAGCCATATTAAAACAGATCCATATAGCTCAGTGTTGTTGGACACAATACATGGCTTAAAATCAAATATATGAATACAAAAATATTCTACTGTATAAATGAAAAAATAAAACGGCTGGAAACTGTAGACTGAATGAAATAGATTATTCTTTCAGAATGTTTTTTGTCAGCCATCCGTTAATCACATGCGCACAGACGATATCACTGGACTGTATAGTCACACATGAATTACTAAAATATATTACTCTAATTCACATTTGCCTATATTTTTCCAGAGTATACAGATGTTTTGCTAAATGTGCTGCTTCTATATATAGATGTGAAAGGCCAAAAGATAAAAGATATTCTGCCCCGTTTCTTAAATGACAGCCCTAGGGAAGGTTCTGTAATCACTGAGTCACTGGATAAACAAGGCAGGGGGCAGTTTCTGTAACTTATTAACTATGTTAAATGTTCCCTTGCAGCAAGCAGGACTTCAGCCCATGCAGTCACCACATCTGTCTAAGGTTCCTGCACACATAGTGTGGAGCAATGCTAGAGTAAGGCTTCCATATACAGAAAAACAGTGTCACCTAAGAGTCACACTGGAGAAAAGCTGAGAAGCAAATGAACCCTACGGTATATTGTGCACACTTCTAAACATGATTAAGTATATACTTCTTTGCTAACATAGGTAACTCTCAGGAGTAATGTGAAATATAAATATGCACATAATGTGATCACAGTGCGTGTCACCTCACTGTGTCTGCAGAGCCTGGGCAACACTCAGGCCTGTGCCCGGGGGCAACGCCCAGCCGTCCTGACCCTGGTGGGTCTGTAGCAGACAGTACAACTGCTTAAGGTGGGTCACTATGTTGTCTTTGATATCTGGGATTGAAATCTGCAAGCGAATGCTGCCACTGTCAAAGGATCGCGTGTTGTCTCCAGAAAACATTTCATATATCATACGGGCCACCACAGGAATAACCTGCAGGACAGAGACGCACAAAGTGAGATTGAAAATGCACAACAGATACGAAACACATTCATTCTGCAGAGCCTGAAACCTGTATTTTGTATTGTAGCTGAAGTTAAATTACACAGCAATTATGATTTTTGTGTCCTTTAAACATAAAAATGTGTAGATAAGAACCGACTTTGCTTCTTCAATACAGGGGTCTCCAGCACGTGACCACACTGAATCTGAAATGTGCATCAGGTCTACATGTTTAGATTTGAGTGAATTATGAGTGTGATTTGTGACACAAATTGTTCCAATCAGCCACTAAGGGGTTCAAAGTAGCACACCTTAAACACCTCCTCATGTTGATAAGCAGCCCAAACTGCAATCAACTTGTTTTTACAACACCTAAATGCACAGATCACATACATGTGGACTATAAAATGATAAGATTTGTGGGGAGAGCTGACAGGCTTGACACCCTGATCTCATTGATCTCTCAACTGCTGTAAGTTTAATGATGAATATGTATATTAATAAGAGTCGAATCCCTGATTTACTGGCCACTACTGTCCTTTAACGAACACAGTAAATCTTGTTGCAAGAGACCAGAAGATTTCTCACCTGCACCATGATGAGTTTCCTCTCCCTAGGCCTTCCATCAGGCCACTCCTCTCCAAAACACAGGTTGATTTCAAACAGAGGGGGGGTTGGTGTCTGGCCACGCTGGTGGGCTATCACACCTGCACAGCAATAAACAAAGGAGTCTATCAGAACTAATTCCCATAGTATATTGTATTTTTCAGAAAAGTAATAGGATCAAAGACAAAGCACTTTCCACAAAAATCTGTGTAGAAACCAAGTTAACTGAACTGGTTAGACCAATTAAAAACCATTATAGGAAAAAAAAAAAAAAAAGTATACGCACCACTGAGAAAAGATTCCAGGCAGAAAAGTTTGACCTTCCTCTGTCGCTCTATAAGATTTGGTGCCGCTGGATTTGGAGCACAAGGGCCGGACCAGTACACCTTACATTGGCAGAGTCGGATCGCATAGATATCATGGCCGCTGACCTCCAGGACCAAACCTCTGTCCATTACATCCAGCAGGCGGTTAGTGAAGACCCTCTGCTTGTCATTGGTGATGTGCTCTGTGGTCGGAAAACGCAACTGTTCCAGGTTCACCGGCCCAAACAGCTCTTCCTGGTTGATCATGGGGCCGAGGTCGCCGTAGAACAGCCTGCAACCCTGTGGGTTACTGACGGTCACTGTAGGACACATTTCCTTCCCTCGGTACTGGAACTGGACCTCCAGATCTGTCACTGAATCACAAGCAATTGCAGGACCATTAAAACCACATATAATGTGCAAATGATGCTTCAATTTAAAAAGGGACAGTTCACCCAAAAACACACACTTAGAATCACCCCCGTCTTCCCAATGTCAACAAATGCATTGATCATACTAACAATGATTGGCTGTGAGGCTTATTCCTCTGTGCCACAGAGCTGCACATTTGTCTAAAGACTATTAAAAACTACGAAATGTACTAAAAGAAGGGCATACTTACTCGGGAGGGAGCTGATCCATGTTTCTGGAGAGGCAAACAAGGCATCAGGTAGAGAAGGGGGATGCATGGAATGATCAGGCAGAGGAGCAGGGGCCATGTCAGGCAGGGGTGTGGGTTGCATCTCCACATCTACAGGCTCCTCTTTAGGCCAGATTTTGGCTGGTTCCTCTTTGGGCCAGACCTCATTTGAAGGGGGACAACTTGGAGGCTGAATGGATGATTCTGAATCCGGAGGGGACCACATAATGAGAGGAGAGGGACTGGTGCCTAAATTAGGGAAGAGAGAAGAATTCTGTTTGAGTGTCGTTAACTGCAATAGAATTATATTCCTTTGCTTTTTTTCTTTTTAAATTTACTGCTGGAAAAACACATGAGGGGAAGTTACTCACCAGAGGATGGGTATGGAGGCAGAGACTCTGGTGTATCTGGAATATCATCCTCACCACCATCTTCATCCTGTGGAGTCCACGAACCAGCGTCTGAAGAGGCTGTGGTGTGACAGTCAGTATTAAAAGGTGGTAAATACTGAGAGAGATTTTTTTTAAAGTTTCCTTGAGGATGAACAAAGTCAATCACACTGAACAAGCTCTCATGTACCTTGGTGACTGGCAGGCTGTGGGATGTCACAAACATCATAGATCTTCAAAGGATTCATGGGGACCTCTTTCGTGCCATCGTAGATGAGGCTGAATTCTCGGCTTTTGTTCAGGGCACATCGAAGCTGAGCTTTCCACTTTGCAGGATCAGGTTCATCGACCCCCTCCTGGAACTTCCCGGTCTCCACAGCCCATGCCTGGAGGAACATTTACACAGAGCAGAGGTATCAATATCACTGTCTTGTTTTAATATTTTTATAGTTCTGCACAAGATCCACATTTTTTTTTATGTTTCTGATGCTGATATATTCTATCCAAGATAATGGACAATGATGTTTTGGCCATGAATGTACATGAGACATGGTTATGAACCATGAAATGTATTTACAGCTATGCAAACACAACATATAAGGGAAGCACGTGCTGTGCAATGTCGCCCAGTTTAGAAGTTCAAAAATGTTCAGTACAGAGATGTGTTAGTATTTTGACTTTGCCCTAATCTTATATGTAAGTTTTATTTCACTTTCCCCTCTAGTTTGTAATTTGAATTCATTCATCAAAGGAGCATATACAATCGACTTAATACCTGCATAGTCTTAAAAAACAAAGACAATATGTTATATACAATCGACTTAATACCTGCATAGAGTCTTAAAAAAACAAAGACAATATGTCACATCAGTTTTACATCTTAAATGGCAGCAACATAAATACAAATCCCATGCTCACTACCTATCTAGACATTATGCCCCATAGCCATGACCCCATGTCTTGTACCAGTCTTTTCTAATACTAGAAGCCAGAGTCCTTGCTTGCAAAGCCAGATGTTGCTCCAGAGGCATGGAATGATATTGAGCTTTTATTACAGAACTAGGCACTTCAAACACACATTTAAGAAGCATAAACCAGCATGCATCTTGTTTAAATGTGGAAGGAAACAATTTGGACTAAACAGGTAAGCTATTCTGTCTGTAGGACACAGCCACAGGTGCGTGTCTACAAGTTCTGACTGTCCGTAACGAAACAATACCTGCACTCCTCTTTCAGTTCGTTACATCTCTTAGGTGTAGTTAAGAGTCTTGACCTTAAATATGGTGTCCTCGTCCTCGTGCTGGGGTGTGTGTCGTGTTGCATGTTTCCACGGAATCTTGAAGCGCATGGCTTCACGGTCCATCCACTCCAGACCCGGATATCGGCCGCTGTCCACCTGAGCGACCAGCCAGGGCTTCAGGCGGACACGTCGAGGGGTGCCTGCCATCCTGAATAAAAAGACGACACTAATCAGTCAGTCAAAGTCTGAGTCGTTTTACCAAGCTGCCAGGACAATGTCTCAGTGACAGTTTCTACTGCAACATGTTCACCTAAATCCTAAACATCCGGATTTTTCAAACAGTTTAACGCTGTGTGGCTTCACTGACAGACGAAGCCTTGAACTTATTTGTTTATCCCATTTCTACAGCTGTCTATAAGTTGGACCTTGTATAATAAGTCACCACAAATTCTAATGTGAGAATGGCAGTAGAATCAGCCCAAAACTGAAATAAACAAATAACCAAGCATGAAACCCAAGACTGACACATACCTGCGGCGAACCAGGAAGTTGGAGAAGCCCTTTCTCTTCGGTCTTACAAATCAAAAGCTGGGATTCAAACCGTCCCTTTGCTGCACAGATCAAACAAAAAAAACCCTTGTAAACTCACTCTAAAGAAGGTTTGCCGGTAACCACTACGACAAAGCTGACTGGTAATAACAAAAAACTGATCAAGGGCAGCTGTGAGGAGCTGATGTTTGTCACTCGACTTGGCCCTTCCTCCTTCTTCACCGAAACTCAGGTACAGGCGTGACGTCACGTCATTGACTCACCTTTTCTTTGCAGCCTGGGGATAACGTTTCAGAAGCACCTGATCACTTCATTTAAATCGGGGGACGGGAGAGTTCACCATAGATTATGACTGACATCTACATAGGATATAGTACATATAAAGTATGATTATTATAAATCTAATTATCAATACAAAATGATCACCAATACTGAAAATGAATAATCATACAAAACAATTCTGATCTCAACATCAATTGTTTTTGTTATGCTGAGTATGAAACAGATTTTTCACATTTGTTTGGATTTTGTTCATATAAAAAGATAGCTGGCCATACATTTTTGGAAATTTAAGTTGACTTGGTTATCTGTCTTTAATATCAGATACAGAGAAGTTTAGAAAATACTAAACATCTGTTTTTATTTTTATGTCTCTGCTTGTGTCATAGTCCTGGCCAGGGGTGTATTTTTAGGCTGTTCATCCCGTTCTCGTGAACGTGATATCTCAGGAACACCTTGAGTGAATTTCTTCAAGTTTGGCACAAACTTCCAATTGGACTCAAGGATGATCTGATTAGAAGGTCAAAGGTCAAGGTCACTGTGTCTTCATGTTTGTCCCATTACCATGAACCTGACTTGTTGCTGGAGTAAAAGTAAAAATAAATAACCTTCTCTTTTTGTTTAAGGTTTAATAAAAGTGGCCTAGACTGGTCTAGACTGAATTTGCCTATTGCCCTAGAGACATGTGTACTGTCTCACACAACCTGGCAGGCAGTGCAGGTTTTTCCATATAAAAAGAACAAAGCATTCACTGTGAAGAGGCATTAACAAGTGGACGGTTGATGATGATCCTGTCACTAACAGGAGCCAAAACAGTTCAACAATAACAAGCCACTCCCTGAAACTACTCATGGCTTTGAGAGTGCATGTCCACCATCCAGCTGCACATCACTCCCTTTGTTTTATTTAATTGTATTTTTCCTGGTTTCAGTACAATATGCATAATGAACCTGTTGCCATGTGTGATGCTTCAGTTAGTCACACTGAACAAGCGCTCATGTACCTTGGTGACTGGTAGGCTGTGGGATGTCACAAACATCATAGATCTTCAAAGGATTCATGGGGACCTCTTTCATGCCATCATAGATGAGGCTGAGTTCTCAGCTTTTGTTCAGGGCACATTGAAGCTGAGCTTTCCACTTTGACTTTGCAGAATCAGGTTCATCAACTCCCTCCTGGAACTTCCCGGTCTCCACAGCCCATGCCTGGAGGAACATTTACACAGAACAGAAGCACTTCCTCTGTAAGACATTCTGGTGCCAGCTGAATGATGTGTCACAAAGGATCTGATTGTCTCATTTGGAGCAACAGACAGGGCAGCCAGGGTAAGACGGCATTTCCCCTACAGTACAACTGATGCTGTACGTTGACAATGACCCAGATACTGGTTCACATCCATTTGTTCTGATGATGATTTGTGGTTTATCCTGAACCCGTATATTCAATTTTTATGATACAAAAACATATAGGCCTATTTGAGAGTCTGAGAAGTTGGAAATATTAGCTGTGTCTTAGCATGTCTCCTTGTCATCTGAATAATGTGTGTGAGGTCCAAACTCTGTTGGTGCCTTCAGCAGAATTTCATCATTCTTAATCCCCAAATTCATCAATGAACAGTTCACCTGGAAAACAGGCACTGAAATAAATCCGTACTGCTTTTTTAAAAATGTAAACACCTGCATCTGAAACAGTGGTGACTGTGATGATGAATCATTTACCAGAGTTAATTTACACAGCTCCACGTCTGCTATGTACAACAGCATTTTATCATTGTGATCATGGTAGTGTGTAAGAGGGGTCTCGCCATATCCATTGGTGTCAGTGTTTTCAAATACCATGCTGGCAAAGTCCTCTGATGATAACTCATTCAGACTTCTACTGATTATACGAATGGACTAAACACGACCGAGAGGGAGGAGATCACGTTTGAAACTGCTGCATGTAATGCTCAACTGTTATCTTATTTTCAACCAGTAGATGTCAGCTCAGTGTCAGCTCTTTGCCTTTGCACCACACATTTCCACAGCTTTGTTTTTGTGCCTTGTATTCCAAGTGGCTGTATCTTAAATCCTCCCAAGCTTTTGTCAGGACTGTGATTTTCTTACATGTTTCACTAAGTCATTTGTCAAAGTTTAACATGACATGAAGGATCATGCAGCCTTAATTATCAAAACCAGCTACTCGCAGTTGATGCAGCCACTCCAGTTTAAAGTACCAACGGAGTTTCTGGTGTGCTCCTGTTTTTGGCACCAAGCTCAAAGCAGCCATATACTCCAAGAAATCAATATAGCCACCCTACAAAAGAAAAGGACTCAGTGAACGTTATCAGTATATTAGTATTATCAAGGTGTACTACTACTACTACATATAAGGCTGTGAACGGCAGAGGCAAATTATGTAAAACCTGCTGCCCACTCATTTTTGTCTTTTTACAAAACGCATAGTTTTACAACCTTTCACTGTCAGTGCATTCATTATAGCTGAAAAGCAACCAACGATGAGTATACTTAAAGATTTATTCAACTAGTAATATCAGAATAAATATATTGCCCTGTTAGAAAATGACAAATTATCTTACGTTGTTCAGATCACACCTCCTGAATCACACTCGGTCATGAATTTCTTATACCACTGATGATTCTCAGAAGCTTGTAAATCCTCCACAGTTTTTTGATTTTGATTTGATTTGATTTATTCATTCAAGCATGTAAAACAGTTGATATGTCAACACATGTAATTTCACACATATCCAACAATAATAATCCAATATCAATTTACTTATACCTAGTTCATGCTTGAACGGACTAGGAAGAAGTTAGACTTATCTAGTCCTACCCCATGACATCATTTTACAACTTTTAAATCCTAAGCAATATCTCTAGATAAATAATTATCCTCTACACCACACAAGTAATATAGGGGTATAGGGATCACACCAATTTAGCTTTCATACAGTCTAAATTGCTAAAATTTTTTGATTTAGTGGGATATAAGACTGCAGTGTTTATGTATAAAGCCAGGAGTAATTTATTACCTGGTGGAATTCAAAAACTATTTAATGAAAGAGAAGGGGGATATAATTTTAGGGGTCAGTTAAATTTAAAAATTCATGCTATACGTACAACCAAAAAAAGATTTTGTATTTCTATAAGTGGGGTAAAACTATGGAATAATTTAAGTGTGGACATAAAAAATTGTAATAGAATTGACGAGTTTAAATATAAATATAAAGGTATGTGTCAAGCGAGATATATGCAAGAACAGGCTTAATGATTAATTGATGTAACATTGTGGGTGTGGTGTATGATTGTTAACGCTCTGTAATAATTCTTTAGTATATTACTTGTGTGGTGTAGAAGATAATTATTTAAGAATGTAATTATGTAAGAATGTCAACACTGTTATAATTTTTTTAGTATAATACTTCTGTGGTGTAGAAGAGAATCATTTACGGCTTTTAAACCAAATATGGTAAA